TTGTATATGTATATAATATTTAAGCTAATTTGGCATACTATAGTATCTAACAAATTTGCTTTGGAATTACAGCTTAAAATGTATATAAGAAAATGATTCTACATTTCTGACTATAGGTAGATAACTGTAAGAATATTTTTAAGCTGGTCAGTAAAAAATGTTTTAAATGTATGTCTATATGTTTATTTAATTTACAGAAGTAATTTACAGCTTGGTGACAATTTGCTTGTTAAGGATGTAAAATATTTTAAAAGAAATCAAATATATTTAATGAGTAATTGACATTTAAATATTTTAAGGTTTAAAAAAATGTATTAACTAAGTTTGTAAATGGAACCAAGTATTAGTCAAAGACCTCCATGAAGTGATTGTTAAATTTCACTAAATTTATAAGTAGAATAATAAAATTTACAAGTTAAATTTTAAAAGTTAGAACAAGTAGATTTGGAATTATTAATTTAAAATTTTAAAATAACAAGTAATTGTAAAAAAATTTTCATTTATGCAAAACTCTCCATCAAAAATGCCAAATATTTAACATCAACACAGTAGTGCTATAAACATATTAGTATCATTTCACATCCTCCTCCTCAAGCCAGTGCTGATGCAGCTGTTACAGACCAGCAGGGAAAAGGGGAGGCTGGTCTATTTTTCCTCCACCTTCCCTCTCTGCTTGTAACTCCTCCAGAGCTGGGGTGGGGATGGAGGAGTTGTGAAGGGGACACAAAGTTTTACTTGCTTAGCAGCGTTTTAATTTAGTGTTGAGGCATCTGTGATGTGAGAGGAAATGCTGGCTGTTCCTCTCATGAGGTATTTTTGCAGGTTCTTTGGAGACCCCTGGCTGAGGAATCTCTGACACTGCTCACTACCGTGGATAATGGACCTACCAGGTAATAATTAACATCTCTTCTGGCACCCGTTGACTTCAAGAGTTAATGCCACACACCCTCCTTTGGTGAAGTTATCCTGTTGTAGCAGCTAAATCCTCTTTGGCTGCTCCTTTCAAAAGAATTCTAAGCCAGCTTCCTTTTGATCTCTGGCAAGATCCTGGGCAGGAAACAAGATCCCTTGCCCAGTCCTCTGTGGAAAAACAATTTACCCCCAGTCTTTGCACACTGACACAGTTAACCAGCTCCAACCAGCTCGTCTTCAGATTTTAGGAGAGTCAGATACCATTCTCTGTGTCTTTGATAGCATAGAAGACAGAACAAGTTTGCCCCAAGAACAGTCTCTCCATATTCCACTGCAGAAACAGTGTAGGAAGCCCAGGAACAGCACAGGCAAGGACTAGTTAGCCTGTGAAATCTCAGTCTCCCTCTCTGTAGACACCCCTTTCTCTAGAAATGGTTCCCTGGAAGGCAACTACCACTGCTCCTCATGGAGGGGCGGAGAAGTGCACAGCACTCCAAAGATTCAGTTCAAAGAAAATTCTCTGTCCTTTCTATGAACCTTCACCCTTCTCAAAGTAAGAGAGGAACCTGAAGGCAGGCCATGGGTGCCAAGGCACAGCCAAGTTTTGATCACCTCTTAGCAAGTCATGCAGGGTGATTGTGTAATTTGGCTCAAGAAAAAATTCTGAAGTGAAAAAAAAGTCTCATTTAATCTCATTACTAAATATAATGCTTTTTCCATACAGTAGTGATATTCAAACTTCTTTGGCTACTGTGCTCTTTGTTCAAACACATTTTACTCCATCTTTGCCTCCTGCCTGCATTCTTCACAACTCTTCAGAGTGCAGCTTGAAAACCTCTGTCAAGTAAATGTAAGATTTTAATATATTCAAGTCCATAAATTCAAGCTTTTCCTAGCCTATGTAATGGAGCTTGTAGAAGTCGCTAGTTTATAAACTGAACGGAAAATTTTCATCTTTTATGTGTATTGATCTTTCTGTGGATGATCCCATTTTCTGCTCCCTCTTTCTTTAAATCGTTTCTCTCCATTTTCAGAAACAGCATTTTCCTGGTTCTACCCCAGCATCTCTGCCATTTATTTTCTGTCTCTTTCACTGGATTATCTGTGTCTATCCATCCCTGTGTTTTTCATAGTTCTATGGGGGTTTCTTTGCATTCTTAGCTAATAGCAATATAGTTTTATAGAATAATGTCTTTCAAGTCTATTTTATAACTGCATCCAATCCTTAGGCTCCAAGTTCTTACATCCTGTCCTCTACTTGGCAATCTCCTCCTAAATGTTCCATCAGCACATCATGTACAGCATGTTTGGAATGAAGCTTATAATCTTACTCTGATATACATTCTTTCTCCTGTGTGCTCAAGACTAACTGGTTGGCCCACTATCCACCCAGACAACCAATCTAAAATCCTGGTAATAATTCTATGCTTATTACATCTCTCAAATCCAATAAATGTCTAAGTTCTTAATGTTACTCATATGGATCTCTCAACCCAAACTTCTGTGAATGCACTTCTGCCACCCCTCCAGTGATTCCTGTACTTGTGTCTGAACTTGCAGCATGTTTGTATCATTGCACATAACACACTGTGTTATAATTATTTTTCAGCATTTCTATCTTCTCCAACTACATTGTGAGCAGAAACTTTTATTGTGTTCTTAGCAAAGTGTGTATACATACCATAAATAGCAGACTTTAAATTGACATTTCTTAAAGTGAATAAGCTTTTGATGATTTACTCTTTTAAGCATATATCCATGAGAATAACATTAGATCTTACAGACTGAATGTTTGAGTGTAGGTAAAATAGATTATAAGAATTATCATTGGGATAAAACTAGTGCTAGTTGTAGCGTCCTTGTGCTGAGTGTGAGTTCAAAGCACACATTGACTTTCAACATAGCCATTAATAATCAAAATAAAGCAGCTTTCTGCCCTTCTCTTTCTCAGATAATTCCAGTGACTAGGCTTTCTAAAATTAGCATGTACATCCTCGAAAGATTTCTAAAAAAAATTTTCTATTCAGTTGAACATGCATTTCTATGTGAACACATATTACTATGAGCAAGGCTTTGTGGTAGGCTTTACAGGAGACTTAAAGACATAAAATTCAGTTGCCTGCCAACTGTTTTATGCTATACTATAGGAATAAGATAATTCAAGGCACAGTGTGATTTAAAATATAGAAGAGGTATATATCAAGTACTTTCAAGTATTTAAAGTCAGAATAAAATTATTCTCAATTCAGTAGTATTTATCTTAAAAAATTATAATGAAATGCAGAAAAAAATTATAATCAAGCAGAATGGTTAAGTGATCACCAAAGACAAATTCCTAAAGGGGATTAGGAAAACAAAGGCCAAGGAAAGCGAACAGATGTTACAATAAAGAAGTCACAGATGGCCTTGGAATCTGTCAGTGGTCTACAGTTGTACGCAGGTATGATTTAAACTCCTTTCTTTCCTTCCACAAGAATTTATCTAGCACTTGCCCGGTGGCAGCCACTCCTTGGGGAATTCAAATAAGTGGTGAGCAAAACAGGTACACCTTCTACTTGGATGGAGCACACAGTTTAGTGGAAGATATCTGATACCAGCCAAATAAAAAATGTTTAGTCATAAGCTGCAATAACTGCTGGACGCTGGACTGGACACTGGTGCACCTCCCACCTACCTAGATCATGCCACTAGGTACTCATCTCCCCACCTGCCAGGTGTGCCCGCTGCTGACAGCTCACCCTGAGTCCCTCTCTGGGAACTGCTCTCAGCTGAAGAGCACGTGATCTCATGCATAGTGGGAGCTTGATCAACAGGTGGCTTATGGGGCTTACAAAGGCCTCACCCCCTTGCCTCAAGTTGAAACTCCTCCCCAGAATCACCCACTGCTCCCCCTCCTGTGGGACTGCTGAGGCCTCTATTATATCTGCATCACAGTTGAATTTTGCTCAATCCTGCTTCCTTTGCCCCTTATATGTGTTGTCCCCAATAAACTTCTTCATGTAAATCTCCATCTCAGAATCTATTTCCAGAGAACCTGATCTAGGAAAACTGCTCTGACAGAAAATATAGAGTATGAGAATATACTATGAGGAAATCCAATTTAGTGTGAGGATTTGGTGCCTGAGAGGTCCCTTTTAAGTGACATTTAAACCAAATCATGAAAAAAAGAGAAAGCAAATAATGGAGGAGTTTTATGGCTGGAGGGAACAGTATGAGTGAAAATCCAGAGGTAGGAAAGGTCTTGTTACATGTTCAAGAAACTGAGAAAAGTGCATGTGGCTTATGTATATATTGATATGTATAATCCAGGGTGGGTGCTGATATGAGACGAGCTGTAAGAGGCAGAGGACACATCGTAGAGGAAATAATTTAGCCAATATCAAGATGCACATTATCCTAAGTGGATGGGAAGCCTCTGGAGGGTTTTGAGTGGGATACTTAAACAATTAAATTTACATTTTAATGATCTTTCTGCTTGTTCTGTGGAGAATGGATCGGATGAGGACCTGGGTGGAAGTAGAGCAACTACTAGGCTACAAATTGCAAAAGTAGGCATCAGAGCAAGAGATAATCATGGCCTAGAATGGAGCTCTAACGTTGGTCATGGAGACAAGTGGTGTCATTTACAAAATATTTCAAAGAAAATGTGACAAAATCAAGCAAAGCATAGCAAGGGGAAGGGAAGGAAGGGAGAGCTAAAGAAGGGCCCCAAATATATGCTTTGGGAAGGGCAAATATATGCTTCTTCAGGGCTGATGTTTAGCATGTAGGTGCCAGCAAGGCTGTGCAGGTTGTTAAAATATTGAAATACTTTCATACCGATTGGTTAGTTGCTACCCTGAGTTCCCCGAGTGGCCCCTTCGGCCTCTTTCCAGGCTCCTTTGCTAATGGTCAGCGCTGCCCAGAGGGGGCCCGCAGGCCTCTACTCCAGCTCCAAGGCTGCCCTCCGGTCCCAGCAGCGAACACCAGTGCCCCACCAGTCGTTAGATATTTTGAGTAGGACGCCTGGGTTCACCTATCAGAATCATCATGCAGCCCAAATGTAGCAAGGAGAGAGACATTCTAGGACCTTGAGTCGCCTTACCTTTGATGTGGCAGACCCTTCGGGGATGAGGGGTGTGCCTGACTAGAAAACAACTTTCATTTCTAGTCCTGGTATGGCTGCCGTCGCTTTCAAGCTGAAGAGCAGACACTGGGGATCTGAGGCTCCTGCTCATGGACTGTTGGTTTCCCCTCTCCACTCGGGTCTACCTTGTTGGCCTCTCTTCCAGAAGTCCTCAGCACCTGAAATCACAGAATGACAGTCATTTTGACAAGGAATTCTTGATATTTTCTTACACATCAAACATGTCTCCTTGTTATTTGCACTGAATTATTTCTTATATCAAAAGACTTATGAGACTATTTTACTTTCAGACCAAATTTTTGTGAACATTGAAATCAATGTTGACATGGGTGGGACAGAAAAAATTTTCCCTGAGAAATCAATATGTTTGTGAGATATTTAAAATACACTCTATATTTAATTATATTTAAGGTCTCTTTGTTGGCTTACCAACATAAAAATATGTAATAAGTGTATTATCAATTTTGATACAGTAAATTAAGTGATAGCTTTCAAATAACATACTCACAAGTGTGTTTCACATTAATGAGGACCTTTCATATTATGCTTTAAGAAAACCATCATCTTAAATTTATAACACCTTCTGAGAGAATGATAAAACCTGAAGGGGACAAATCTGATAGCAAAAAAATTACATTATATCTAGATGATAAACTGGAGAACTGCTGGCATGTTGTTCTTTGCAATATTCAATAATACTTGATGCTTTTCTCTCAATAACTCAGCAATCATTTATTAGACAGCTACAGTGCCATAGGCCTAAGGGATAAAAGATAATGTTATAGCTCTGAGGGAATTCACAATCATGTGGGGAAAAAAAAATTCTGGATTGGGAACATGGAAAAGTTAAACTTTCTTATAGATGGTTTATTAGTTTTAATATTTAAGAAGGAATTTTTTTGTTTTTTGTTGTATATTTCCTATCTTATATGGAAATCTTTTTTACTATAGCAGTACTGGGCAGTAAACACTTTATTTCTAACCATCACAGAGAGTTTCTCTGATCACAATAATTTGCAGGGTCAAAACACACCTATATTCTAGAAATTGATCTCTAGAATTTGTTGGAGTAGATATTTTTAGCTCATTGACTATCTTTTTAGATCAGAGAATCTGTTCAAGTTTTTCATGGCAGATGTTCAGAGTGTATGGCATATAAATGACCAGTCCTGTTGCCACAAAAAAATTCATAATTTATGAATTACAACTGTCATAAATTCTAAAATTATAGTGGGCTGCATAAAATATAGTCAAATATTTTTAATTCAGAAAGTACTGTTATATAACAATAAAAAGTATATCTCTTATTACTCCTAATAAATAATGAGGAGTTCTAACCTCTTTGTGTAACTCAAACCTTAGTTAGATTCACTCTTCTTTCTGTGTGGAACCTTTTGTGCAGTCAAGTCAGTCAATTCATTTTTTCATCTATATTGGGGAGAAAAGGTACAGTAGGCAATTTGGAGAGTGGAAATGACACCGAACTGAAATTTTAAAATGGGATTTATGGTCACAGCTTTGCCATTAATGAGCAAAATGACCATGGATGAATTGCTTTATTTCCTCGATTTTGATTTGCTCATCTGAAACCTGATGGGATGGACTTTTTACATGTCAGCTGAAATATTCAGCTATTCTACTATGTGTGTCTTCCCCATATCAATTCTCTTAGGTTAATTTGAAGAGTAATGACATACTTTAAACTCTGGTATATATAAAGTCAACAAGCAAATTATGCAGAGAATTCTTCCACCTCTTATGGAAATTGCAGTGCCTCCTGGAAGTCTGAAATTCATCTTGCTCTTATATTTAAAAAGATGCTGGATTACAAAAAACTTAATCATCTAATATTATGGTTTTTATTGTTTCTATCGGAAGTTTCAAAATAATGTTAAAGGAATAAATGCAATATATACATATTTTATCCAAAAATATCATTAAAAATTCTACAAAACTAATTACATTAAGTGCTATTGAAAGTTTGATTTAAACTTAAATTTTCAGAAATGAAGTAAATTAACAACTCAGGACAAAGTTGTATTTTGAATTGTTCTAGCAAGGGATCAAATGATGAAAAAAGAAAACTACCTCAAGCCTATAGAAAGGCAAAACTACACTTTGCACTGTTAAAAGATGAAAAGTTAAGCACAGACTGGGAGAAAATATTGCAAAACACATATGTGATAAAAGATTTATCTAAATTTACAAAGAACACTAAAAACTCAACAATAAGAAAATAAGTAGCCCAATTAAAAACTGGGCAAGTTATCTGAACAAACACCTCATCAAAGAATATTATCAGATGGCAAATAAGCATGCATATGAAAAGACACAGATCATAATTTTGTCATTAGGGAATTGCAAAACAAAACATCAATGAGATACCACCACACATCTATTAGAATGGCTACAATCCACAACACTGACAACATTAAATATTCACAAGAATATAGAGCAACAGGAATTCTCATTCATTGGTACTGGGAATGCAAAATAGTACAGACACTTTGGAAAGCAGATAGGCAGTTTCTTACAAAGCTAAGCATAGTCTTACCATGTGATCCAGCAATTGTGCCCCTAAGTGTTTATCAAAAGGACTTGAAAACATATACCCACACAGAAACCTACACATGAATATTTATTCATAATTGTCAATAACTAGAAGCAGCCAAGGTGTCCTTCAAATAGGTGAGTGGATAAATTAACTGTAGTACATCCAGATAATGGAATGCCATTCAGCACCAAAAAGAAATGAACTATGAAGCCATGAAGAGACATGGAGGGAACTCATGCATATCACTAACTGAAAGCTAATTTGAAAAGACCATCCTGTATGATTCCAACTATATGACATTCTGGAGAAAGCAAAACTACGGAGAAAGCAATAACATCAGTGGTTTGAACTACAAGAAGGAACCAAAGTGTCCATCAATAGATGAGTGGATAAAGAAGATGTGGTGCATATATATGATGGGATATTTATTATTCAGCCATAAAAAAGAAAGAAATCTTGCCACTTGCAACAACATGGATAGACCTAGAGGGGATTAGTGAAATAAGCCAGGGAGAGAAAAACAAATACCATATGATTTCAACTGCATGTGGAATCTAAAAACAAAACAAAACAGATAAACAAAACAGAAATACACTCACAGACACTGAGAAGTGACTGGTGGTTACCCTGGGGAAGGGGTTGTGGTGGATAGATGAAATAGGTGAAGGGGATAAAGAGGCACAAAATTTCAGTCATAATATAGATTAGTCAAGGGGATGAAAGTACAGCATAGAGAATACAGTCAATAGTTCTGTAACATCTTTCTATGTCAACTGATAGTAACACTAGTGGGAGTGAGCATTTAATAATGTAGGTAACTGTTGAATCACTATGTTTAATATTTGAAACCAATATAATATTGTATATCAACTATACTTCAATTAAAAACACAAAATTAGTGGTTGCCAGGAGTTCCATAGGGGAGGTGGGAGAATAATGAATAGGTAGAGCACAGGGGATTTTTAGTATGGTGAAACTAGCCTATACTACACCGTCCTATGCTATAACAGTGGATGCATGACATTATGCATTTGTGGAAACCCACAGACTGTATAACACAGAATGAACTCTAATGTAAACAGAGGATTGCAGTTAATAATAATGTCCAGTATTTGTTCTTCAATTGTAACAGATGTACCACACTAATGCAAGATGTTAATGATAGACAAAGCTGGGCAGGGGGGATATATGGACTCCCTGTACTTTCCGCACACTTTTTCTGGAAGCTTAAAAACTACTCTGAAGAATAAACTCTACTAATTAAAAAAGAGAAAGAAAGAAACTACCTCAATCCTGAAGAAAATCAAAACTGTTTGTTACTATTAATAATGGCCCATATCTCTCTCTTCCACCTGTTGTCTATATTGATTTCAACACTCGTTGATAATCACTGCTCAGTGATTTCGATGAATATTCTTCCGAAGTCCACGAATTAGTCTGGAATAATATTTCTCTATTAAGATTTCCTTTATAACAAGTATTGGTTTTGGATTGTAATTTTTTAAGACTATAAACTTAGAAGAAATGAATGAATCATTCAATTTCACATAAAAGAGTAATTTTTCCCCCAAAAATCCCCAAGAGAAATATGAAAAGAACATGTTACTAAAATAAGGAATTAATAGAAGTGGAGACCAGGAAATAAATAACTTGTTGATGAATATTTTATTTGTTGGGGAATAAGAAATTTCATTTATTTCATAATTAAGTGACTAAAGATTTTCCTAAACCAACAGTAGAGAAACCCATCAGTGTAAAACTGGTCAGTGTGTATCATGGATAGATACTATAGACTAATCAGTTGTAGTTACTTTTACAGATGTGCAATGGATTTACTGTGGTCCAAATACAGTTTTGTGATAAATAAATATATTTTAAACAACAATGAAAACAAAAAACTCACACTTGTTTCTAGTATCTTAGATTTGCTATCTAATAATAGAGCAGCAGTTGTCAGCCTATTTTTCCCATCATGACACATATGACAGATGATGTTCTCATGAAAGACATATTCCTATCACACATAAAATCTTACCAGATTTTAAAGAATGTATCCCCAAATTGTCAGGAAGCAAAGTAGTAAAAAAAAAAAACTTTTCAATCACCACAGCTATGGTGTGTCAGTAACTGTGACTCAGAAGAGCCATATAACCAGGTTCTAACTCTAATCTTTCCAAACAGGTGCACTCATGGCTTTGCAAGTAAATGCCAGAGTTAGTGTTAGAGAACCTACCCTTCTTTGTATCAATTCCTTTTAAAAACTAAACAGCTTACAAACATGAACATTTTAGCTATCGTTAGTAAATATCTTGGCTCTCCGTCACTACCTGTGTGTTTCAAGACCTATGCTGAGTGAGACCTCCTGACTTAGAGGATACACCCAAAAGATTTGCTGAGTGGAAGGAGCTGAGTTCCATTTGTAATTCTATTTTCATTGTGATGCTAACACTCTTTTCCCTCTGAAGAGATAAAGAAAAACCTGTACAGAGGTAACTGTGGGAAAATCTAATTAAAATTACCAATCACCATTCATCAGGAAATTGTGTAAGTGCTTCTGAGAGCAATATTTCCTTTCCCATAGCCTCTTGAATCTACCTATATATTAGTATATTATTAAATTTTATTTAGACTGTATGACACAAAATCCTAAAAAGAGGTGGTTTTAAAAGCATTATTAATCATCTAGTACTAATTCCTGACATTGTTACTTAGAAAATACCATACAAATCTGTATTAAATATGAATATTCTTAGTCCAAGATAGTATGCATGTAAAAAGAATGCCCACAAAGGAGAATACAATATCTGATTAAACAACAGCTGAATGTTCCTATGAATTCCTAGGGATGTAAAGGCTGCTATTTAGGTGATTAGTGGTGAACCACTTTGCATTTACAGATCCCCTGGCCTAGAATGGATGGCACTCAGATCTTCTCATGGCTCCCTCCCTCACTTCATTCAGTGCTCTAAAGGAAACTTCCTCCAAAAGGCTTCCTTACCCTTCTCTTAGATAGTTCCCACCATCATCCCAGCCTTGAGCACTCTATCCCTTTCCCTCCATGAGCTGTCCTCATAGTCTGTGTTACTCTCTCATATCATTTTTTTACATTTCTGTTTATGTCTGTTTCTCTCAAAGGATATAATAAGCAGGCAATGATCTAGTCCAATTTCTACCTCTGTATTCCCAGTACCTAACATATAGTATATGAACAATAAATATTTACATAGTTAAATGTTCTCCATAGGATGTCTTTAAACCACAAACTTAGCATACTGTATTTGTATGATCTCCTCAAAAATAGGTGGTTTTCTCTAAAAGATAATACTCTGTTTCCTCAAAAGAGATTTAACTTTTTAATAGTCTTTAAGATGAACTTGGGGTCCATTAACTAAATCATATCTAGTTCTATAAAATTATTTTAAAGATAAATTCAAAATTATACCTGAGGACAGTTTTAAAAGATGGTGATCTGGTTAACAGGAACCCAAGGCTGTTGAAATTCTCCAAGCCTCATAAATGGGTCTATACTGAGTTATCGCTGATTTCCTTAAATCTTTGCACTTGAGCTGGGAATCTTTAATTGGCAGAGAGAGCCTAATGTCTAATGCTTCCAGAATATAATTGTCTCCCTCCAGTTTCTCCCACTCTTACGCCAAGGGGCCTATATGGGTCTCTGGTTGTTAAGATACACTGTACAACTTAGCAACGTGATAACATTCTGTAGGGAAATCTGAGTTCCAGAACCTCTCCACCTGCCATTCTTCACAGAGCTCCACTCACCCACAGCTTAACAAAACCATGTGGCAGCAGTGACTTTTCTCAGTTTGGGATGTATTATAGAGTAGAGTTAAATGCAAGAAAAAAAAAGGAAGAGGAAAGAAAGCAATTTCAATCTTACTGATAATTCTCCCCCCAGTTTTGCTTAAAGAATACATACCATCCAGATGGAACCAAATTTAGCTCATCCAAAACCTCTGGGGGAAAAGTGTACATGACTTTAAAATACCCCAGTCATTCTGCTGTAGTGGTCAGTATGTCCATGCTGATGACTTGTTCAGCAGTCTGAAAAAAATTGAAATGTTAATTAAAAGTCATAAAAAATCATTAATAATGTCATAAAATTACCTGTGAAAAGTGAATATGTAATCATATTTAGTAATTCCATATATACAAAACACACATAGACACATATGTTTCTATCAGCTCTAGGATTATATATACTGGTGCTTCCCAACATTTTTCTCTTCAGAACACACATGATTTTTAATTTCTGAATTACAGTCTCTGAAACAATATGGATCATCTCTAAAGAGCAAATATTTAATTGAAGGCAATGCAAGGAGAAAGAGCTCAATTTAGTCTGTTTTCTTGACTGTCCCCAAAATTAAAGACTCAACATTTCCACATGCCTATGTCCTTTCAGGACTTATGCCACACTACTTTACAGCATTTTATGGGGCATTTAAATGATTTTCTAAGGTAATTTTGGTATCTGGGGATTTTCTTTTTTTTTTAACAATATTTTATTTGAAGCATATGAGATACAATATTATATGGGTTTCAAGTATACAACATGGTGATACAACAGTTAAGGTTTTCATTTCACGCTTTGTCTCACTTAGGAATTTCCTTTACACAGCTAGTAACAGAGACTTATTTTCTCCCTCATGTGAAGGAATTCAACAGTTCACAGCAGCTTTAGAAACTCCCTGGTGTCGTGATGGGGCTAGGCTTGCTCCATGTTTTTGGTCCATCTCTCTTCACATGTAGCTTCTCTTCTTAAAGTTAACTCTTATCCAAGATGGTTCCTAAAGGTCCAGTCATCCAGCTATTGTATTTCCAGACATCAAAGCCATAGTCCGGGCAGAAAACAAGAGGGAAGGCAGGTAAGAACAGACAATGGACACTGTAGTTCTGTGCTCCCTCCATAAGAGCCTTTCCGTGAGTCTCAGGCAATAATTCAGATGCACTGACCACTTCTAGCTGCAATGTAAATTCTTCATAGTGCACATTGCCACCCCTTTCTAAAACTGAGGCTCAGTTACTAGCAAAAGAGGGAGAAAACATACATTCAATTATAAACAGCAGTCTACCACAGATCCTGGCATTTGTACCTAACCCCCATGTAAGAGGTACCTACAATCTATGTGGTTGTACCTTTCCTTAGAGAGGGCCAGGAGTCCATCAGAGGGAGACATACCCCTGACTATGTAACTGTGGTTCTATTATATTCCCTTTATGAAGACCTATGAGGACCTTACTTGTCTCATTACTAGGAAAAATGATACTACCGGTGTGTTTGAGCATGACTGGCAATAATTCTGTCAGACCCAAGAGGCAGAGGTTGCTCGGCTCACTGCTCAGGGCAGCAGCACGTGTACCCTCGCTACTTTGGTAACAAACAGACTACCAGTCCAAAACACCCTTTCAGCAAAGATAGAAAACAGATGGAGAGACTGAGAGATTTCTTGGAATATGTGCATTAATGTATGACTGATAACTAGTGATTTTAAAAACAACATCTATGATAATCAGAAGCAAGAAACCCTGTTCATTGTCGACAGGCATTTTGAATATTGTTATGGGCTGGATCCTGTCCCTCGGAATTAGTGTTTGCTGTCCTAATTCCCAGTGTGACTACTTTTGGAGACCAGGCCTTTGAGGAGGTAATCAAGGTTAAGAGAGGTCACAGGGTGGGTCCTAATCTAACAGGACTTGGTGTCCTCATAGGGACCGGAAGAGCTCGCTCTCTCCATGCACGCACAGAAGAAAGGCCATGTGAGGACACAGCAGGGAGGAGTCCGTCCACCAGCCAGGGAGAGAGGCTTTACCAGAAGCCAACTCTGCCAGCACCTTGATCTTGGACTTCCAGCCTCCAGAATTGTGAAAAAGTGAATTTCTGTTGGTTAAGCTGCCCAGTCTGTGGTATTCTGCTATGGCAGCCCTATCAGATTAATACAAGTGTGAATATGCAGGACACTCTGTTAGGCCCATTTTGATGCTCCATGTATAAGTAATGTGGACATATCTTGAAACTGTGAACTGATTAAGCCTATTCATTTTTGTCCTTGTTTCTCATTTCCTATAAAAATGTCACCCATGTCTGATGAACATATAAGAAGGGAATATAAATATTTTATGAAAAGTTAAAAATGCTAATTTAAAACAATGGCAGAATAACATTTAATTTCATTTGCTGTCTTGCCCACCCTGTACTCTGTTCTGTCAATTGTGGAAGCACATGACTCAGCACAGAGTTTGCAATAAATATCTTCAACCACAGAAAATAATCCTGGGTGATCCCCAGAGCACAACAAAGGCACTGATGAAAGTGTAGTAGAAAAAATGCTAAACTGGCCCCCAAGATTACCTCCCCCAGTGTGTACACCTGATATAATCCCCCTGCCTTTGATTTCTCATAAATGGGTCTATACTGAGTTATCGCTGATTTCCTTAAATCTTTGCACTTGAGCTGGGAATCTTTAATTGGCAGAGAGAGCCTAATGTCTAATGCTTCCAGAATATAATTGTCTCCCTCCAGTTTCTCCCACTCTTACGCCAAGGGGCCTATATGGTTCTCTGGTTGTTAAGATACACTGTACAACTTAGCAACGTGATAACATTCTGTAGGGAAATCTGAGTTCCAGAACCTCTCCACCTGCCATTCTTCACAGAGCTCCACTCACCCACAGCTTAACAAAACCATGTGGCAGCAGTGACTTTTCTCAGTTTGGGATGTATTATAGAGTAGAGTTAAATGCAAGAAAAAAAAAGGAAGAGGAAAGAAAGCAATTTCAATCTTACTGATAATTCTCCCCCCAGTTTTGCTTAAAGAATACATACCATCCGGATGGAACCAAATTTAGCTCATCCAAAACCTCTGGGGGAAAAGTGTACATGACTTTAAAATACCCCAGTCATTCTGCTGTAGTGGTCAGTATGTCCATGCTGATGACTTGTTCAGCAGTCTGAAAAAAATTGAAATGTTAATTAAAAGTCATAAAAAATCATTAATAATGTCATAAAATTACCTGTGAAAAGTGAATATGTAATCATATTTAGTAATTCCATATATACAAAACACACATAGACACATATGTTTCTATCAGCTCTAGGATTATATATACTGGTGCTTCCCAACATTTTTCTCTTCAGAACACACATGATTTTTAATTTCTGAATTACAGTCTCTGAAACAATATGGATCATCTCTAAAGAGCAAATATTTAATTGAAGGCAATGCAAGGAGAAAGAGCTCAATTTAGTCTGTTTTCTTGACTGTCCCCAAAATTAAAGACTCAACATTTCCACATGCCTATGTCCTTTCAGGACTTATGCCACACTACTTTACAGCATTTTATGGGGCATTTAAATGATTTTCTAAGGTAATTTTGGTATCTGGGGATTTTCTTTTTTTTTTAACAATATTTTATTTGAAGCATATGAGGTACAATATTATATGGGTTTCAAGTATACAACATGGTGATACAACAGTTAAGGTTTTCATTTCACGCTTTGTCTCACTTAGGAATTTCCTTTACACAGCTAGTAACAGAGACTTATTTTCTCCCTCATGTGAAGGAATTCAACAGTTCACAGCAGCTTTAGAAACTCCCTGGTGTCGTGATGGGGCTAGGCTTGCTCCATGTTTTTGGTCCATCTCTCTTCACATGTAGCTTCTCTTCTTAAAGTTAACTCTTATCCAAGATGGTTCCTAAAGGTCCAGTCATCCAGCTATTGTATTTCCAGACATCAAAGCCATAGTCCAGGCAGAAAACAAGAGGGAAGGCAGGTAAGAACAGACAATGGACACTGTAGTTCTGTGCTCCCTCCATAAGAGCCTTTCCGTGAGTCTCAGGCAATAATTCAGATGCACTGACCACTTCTAGCTGCAATGTAAATTCTTCATAGTGCACATTGCCACCCCTTTCTAAAACTGAGGCTCAGTTACTAGCAAAAGAGGGAGAAAACATACATTCAATTATAAACAGCAGTCTACCACAGATCCTGGCATTTGTACCTAACCCCCGTGTAAGAGGTACCTACAATCTATGTGGTTGTACCTTTCCTTAGAGAGGGCCAGGAGTCCATCAGAGGGAGACATACCCCTGACTATGTAACTGTGGTTCTATTATATTCCCTTTATGAAGACCTATGAGGACCTTACTTGTCTCATTACTAGGAAAAATGATACTACCGGTGTGTTTGAGCATGACTGGCAATAATTCTGTCAGACCCAAGAGGCAGAGGTTGCTCGGCTCACTGCTCAGGGCAGCAGCACGTGTACCCTCGCTACTTTGGTAACAAACAGACTACCAGTCCAAAACACCCTTTCAGCAAAGATAGAAAACAGATGGAGAGACTGAGAGATTTCTTGGAATATGTGCATTAATGTATGACTGATAACTAGTGATTTTAAAAACAACATCTATGATAATCAGAAGCAAGAAACCCTGTTCATTGTCGACAGGCATTTTGAATATTGTTATGGGCTGGATCCTGTCCCTCGGAATTAGTGTTTGCTGTCCTAATTCCCAGTGTGACTACTTTTGGAGACCAGGCCTTTGAGGAGGTAATCAAGGTTAAGAGAGGTCACAGGGTGGGTCCTAATCTAACAGGACTTGGTGTCCTCATAGGGACCGGAAGAGCTGGCTCTCTCCATGCACGCACAGAAGAAAGGCCATGTGAGGACACAGCAGGGAGGAGTCCGTCCACCAGCCAGGGAGAGAGGCTTTACCAGAAGCCAACTCTGCCAGCACCTTGATCTTGGACTTCCAGCCTCCAGAATTGTGAAAAAGTGAATTTCTGTTGGTTAAGCTGCCCAGTCTGTGGTATTCTGCTATGGCAGCCCTATCAGATTAATACAAGTGTGAATATGCAGGACACTCTGTTAGGCCCATTTTGATGCTCCATGTATAAGTAATGTGGACATATCTTGAAACTGTGAACTGATTAAGCCTATTCATTTTTGTCCTTGTTTCTCATTTCCTATAAAAATGTCACCCATGTCTGATGAACATATAAGAAGGGAATATAAATATTTTATGAAAAGTTAAAAATGCTAATTTAAAACAATGGCAGAATAACATTTAATTTCATTTGCTGTCTTGCCCACCCTGTACTCTGTTCTGTCAATTGTGGAAGCACATGACTCAGCACAGAGTTTGCAATAAATATCTGCAACCACAGAAAATAATCCTGGGTGATCCCCAGAGCACAACAAAGGCACTGATGAAAGTGTAGTAGAAAAAATGCTAAACTGGCCCCCAAGATTACCTCCCCCAGTGTGTACACCTGATATAATCCCCCTGCCTTTGATTTTGGGCACACCTGTGGCTCTGGATGTCCTTCTGTGATTTGGCTATGTTTTATAGCAAAGATAGAAGAGTTTTGCAGATATAATTAAAACCCCTACTCATAAATACTTGGAGTTCATAAAAGTCTGTTCATCAATAGGATATGATTTGGGCATGGGTCTGACCTAATGAGGCAGCCCTTTTAAAGAAGATCTAGGCCTTCCCCAAGATCAGACAAGCTCACCTGCTGGCCCTACAGAAGAAAACTGCCGTTGGTTTTTTCTTCTGTGCGTGCATGGAGAGAGCGAGCTCTTCCGGTCCCTATGAGGACACCAGTCCTGTTAGATTAGGACCCACCCTGTGACCTCTCTTAACCTTGATTACCTCCTTAAAGGCCCTGTCTCCAAAAGTAGTCACACTGGGAATTAGGACAGCAAACACTAATTCCGAGGGACAGGATCTAGCCCATAACAATATTCAAAATGCCTGTCGACAATGAACAGAGTTTCTTGCTTCTGATTACCATAGACGTTGTTTTTAAAATCACTAGTTAACTCTGCCTTAAGCTGCGATTTAAATGTCCAGGCAGGAGCTCATCTGGAGAGCACTGATGGAGGACAGGGAGTGCCAAGGGCATCATCTAGGCTGCTGCAGCATTCTGCAGGGTCTCAAAACTCTATAACAATTCCAAGGCCCATAACCAAACTCACAACAGTTTTGGGGCCTTTCACTTCTAACATACTACATACAGATAGTGTTAGTAATGCAAGCAGTGGCGGGGTTTTCTTAAGACCTGTCAAATAGAAAGGAACTTTAGCGGAAGCCCAACACATCCCTCAGGATCAAACTCTTGAGAAAATTGGAGATGACTGCCTAAGGAAGGGTCAAGTAGAGGCCTTTTTCTTTGACTGTTTTAACATGATATGTCAGTGTGATTGTGTGTGTGCAGGTGGGTGGGTAGGGGACCTGCAGGAAGAGGAGGCACGTGTCTACCGTTGTAACTTCACTCTTTGACCCTGTACGTATCTGTGTGTGCCATATCTCTCTCAAAGACATTTTGAAAATAAATAACTTTTATTGGAATTATACTGGGAGAATGCTACTGGGCAGAATCTGAGTGTGATGAAAAAGACAGTTTATATATATATATATAGAGAGAAGACGGAAAGCAATCAGGCTTCTGCTTCCTTCTCAATATCGATCATTCTCATTGCTGCCTCTCCCTCACTCTCAGCTTTTATTCTCACTGTAGCTGAGGCCTCTGTGTTGCTGCATTTTATTTTTCCTCTTACCTTTCTGTTAATGCTGTTTTGGTTTTAATCAATATTTCACTCCACATGCTGCATATCAGTCATTCTTTCCAGAATTTTCTCTGAAAATCTATGTACCAGGCATTTTGCAAGGTTCTGGGTTTATAATGCTGAACAAAAAAATGACAGTTCCTTTCTTCATGAAGCTCACAGTCTAGAGGTAAAGGCAGATATTGAAGAAGTAAATATATATATAGACATATGCTAACAAATGGAGAAAAAAAAATTATTAGTTAGGATTATGTTTGGCCACAGATAGAATCTCCTAAAGACAGAGGCTTAAACAAATGAGGCTCTTTTTCCACCATGTAACATTTAGTAGGTAACCTCAGGTTAAAGCAGAGACATGGGATGGGACAAATGCTCTTTCCCTCTTCCTCTTCCTGCTCTACCACCACTAGTCTGTGTGTCTGGTTCTCATGGGTTCTAAGCCTGGCATCTGCATTCCACAAAGAATAAGAAGGCAACCTGGAGTGAAGCACTGGCGATTTCATAGAGAAAGCAGCCATTTCCCAGAAACCCTCCACAGCCTCCTGCCTACAGTACCGGGCCTCTGCCCCTTGGACCCCTTGCAAATGTTTAGCCGGGCATATTACTGCCCTGAACAAAAGCTGGGGGTCAGTCACAAAGGAAGGCAGTAGGTAGCAGCATCTGCCACAGTCATGAAGGAAAAGAACAGGGTCCCAGTAGTTAGGATGGCCAGGATGAGTCTCTGAGAAAACGCTGTTTAAATTTATACCTTCAGCAAGGCACACAGAGGAGCATAGGAGGGAGGGCAGTTCAACAGAGAAAACTCTACATCCTAAGAAAAGGGATCTAGAACATAATTCTGGCACGTGTCTCCTCATAAAGCTTTTCAAAGCTCCATATAGCAACACCCGCCCAAGCCTAACTCAAGTATAATTCAAACAAGAAAACATTCCCAAGTCTGGTTGTCAAATCCTACTCTCACTTGATTCAAGCCAGTATGTTCATAGGTATAGACTATAGGAAAAAACATTTTCTTCTCTCTTTTAACTTCTATTCATTTATATCTAACAGACAGACTCAGACACATGAACCTACATTGCCTTCCAGCTTGTTCATCAAGCATTTACTGCCCTGATGTAATGTGGTGTCTTACATCGGATCCTTGAGCACAAACAAGTCGTAGACTGCATCTTCTTTGGAGATTACTCCACTCCTGATTTTTTTTCTCATTTTAGCCTCCTGGATACCTCCACTTACATGTCTAACAGGCAACAGAGAAGACAGTTTCTACTCAGCCAGATAATAGGAACATAGTAAAAGCATGTATCATATAAAAAACTCAACACCAAATAAATAAATAAATAATCCAACTGAAAAATAGGCAGAGTGAAGTAATTAGGTAAATTGGAATACACACTGCCGATGTAATGTATATTTTTTAAAAGGGGAGAGAAAGAGCATTAAGTCAGTACTCAACCCAGCAATAAGGCCCTGTGCATTTCCTGGAGTGCCTCCTAAATGCCTTTGACACCATTACTTCAGCTTCTTTGGAGCTTCTTCACCTCCTACTTGGGTCCTAATTTTGCAAAGGCCTCTTGATGATAACCACATACTTGCTGCATTGCCACCAGATCTTGGACTGTACCTGTGTCCAAAAATATTTGCAAAAAACCTTTAAGTTCTAATACTTGTAATTTTTAATTTCCACTCTCTTATTACCTGTCTCACCATAACACAGTATTTTTATACAGGATTATTTCTTTAGTATCCTGCTTGTACATTTTAAAAAAACATACGGCAACCTTAATACATCTCCATATATTGTGCTGTTGTGATTGTTAAAGCAAAAGTGGAGAGAAGAAAAAGATGCTACAATGTACAACTGTGAAACTGTGATATTTGATAAAGTAGAAGAAATTCAAAAAAAAAAAAGAAAAGAAAAATAGGCAGAGGACCTGAATAGATGTTTTTCCAATGAAGACATACAGACAGCCAACAGATACCTGAAAAGATGATGAACATCAATTATCAGAGAAATGCAAATCAAAACCACAAAGGAGGTATTATGTCATACCATTCAGAATGTCTAGCATCAACAAGAAAAGAAATAATTTAAAAACAAGATAAAATGGAAAAGTTGGACCACAAAAAATAATAATAATAAGCTGGGTTTATATTTTTATAAATACCTGAAAAATTCTTTCAATGTAGGGGGTACCTGATAGGCTTATATAGGAGAAAAAGAAAAACCTGTCTCAATTCAGGAAACTTGGATCCAACTCCTGGGTTCAAACCCCAGCTTCTCAGGCTGCAGGGGCTCCACCAGAACCTTACTCTCTGACCCCAAGTGTAACAGCAACACTCCCAGTACTACTTTAAAAGGGATCACTGTCATACTTTCTCTGGTTCCACTACCATCTATCCTAAGCACTTTATATATATCCTTTCTGAGGCCCTAGGTATTATTACAACACTGTTTTACAGATGAGGAAACTGAGGCACCAAAAGCTTATGTAATGTGGTCACACAGCTAGTAGCTGACTCAGGATTCACATTGAGGTTCTGGCTCAGAGGTTCTGCTCTTATCTAAGAAGCCATCATATCTCCACTAATTACCCAGTGCACAGGAGCCAGGTGGTAACATTCAATAAAACATGACTGAAGGGTGGAGAAGAACAGAAAGAAGTTGAATTGAAGAAAACATAAAACTGAATTTGGCATTTCATGGCTCCTTGATGGCTAGCATACTCTTTAGCCTACAGCCTCATGGTATGTCCCAGGGCTTCATGCACATCTACCCACCCCACTCCTACACACACACATGCACAAAGCCCCCAGAGGGGACTGTGCTGACTGTGTTTCCAGTATCCTCAGTCCAGGCCCTACCCACCTTCTGTGGGGCCCAAGGGTGTCTCTCCTATGGTACTTCAGACTAGATTCCCTGCCAACACAAGAATGACCTGGAGAAGGCTCTGGAAAGAACCTAACTTTGCCTCTTTTAGCTCTTGGGGGCTCCAGGTGTTCTTTAGCTTGCAAGTGCCTAACTCCAGGGTCTGCCTCTGTTCTGCCTCTCTGCATATCTCCTCTGTGGATCACCTATGAGGATACTTGTCATTGGATTTAGGACCTATCCAGATTATCCAGAATGGTCGCATCATGAGAACCTTAATTTAATTACATCTATAAAGACCCTTTCCCAAATAAGATAACATTCATAGATTACAGGGGATTCGAATATGGGCACATCTTTTTGGGGACCACCATTCAACCCAGTAAAAACTGATTGCAGAATCATAGGTCTTTTAAACAAGGTACTGTGGCAAGGAAATCAGTGTGCATGTGTGTGTGTGTGTGTGTGTGTGTGTGTGTGTGTGTGTGTGTGTGTGTGTAAGAGTTAGAAGCAATTCCAGAGTTTATTTCTAGTGTTTCCAATTGAAACCTTACAAACATGAGCAAGTTCCCCAGGGTCACACTGAGAGCTAGTGGCAGAATCAGTCCCATGTTTAGAAGAATTGAGAGAAATGCTACATTATTAGCCTGAAAATCCAGTTAGCTTCCCAAAACTCAGACATGATGAATGAGCTATTTGTTTTTCACCCTTCTGTCCCCTCATCTGAATACAAGGGAAAGAATGGAAATGTTTACTGAGTTGGGAAATTTAGGATGGACAACCTTACTTCAGATCACTAACCAGTGAAACAAAAGGGGAGATGATAAATGTACTCTTTACAGGTTATGGATCAGATTATTAACAATTCCTATCAAGTGATCTCTCCACAGGTAAGCTTCATCTCTCCTAGAACTCAAAATGGAGTGCTTCTGCATTGTTCCCCTGGCTCTGAGACGATGCTTCATTCACTGGGAGAAGTGCTATTCATTTGATGTTTAAGTGTTCATTAAAAAGGTTGAAAGAGCATTCTGTCATTTGCATATGCACATTAGATATTTTACAGATATTGAAACGCTAGGGTGATAGTTTGTTTCTGATTCTTAAAAATTTTTTTTACAGTAATAACTGTAGGATGTGAATAGAAAAATGGATGACGAGGAGAATTAGCATGCCCGTTTCAAAACTAGCTGATTATATAACATCTAAACTTGTTAAAAGGATGTGTCAGGGTGGTTTTCTTGGAGGGGAGAGGGTATTCAAGAGTGTTTTCAAACTCAGGTTGCTAATAGAACCACCTATTCTCTTCCCGCAGAGAGATTTTTATTCTAGTCACGAGGTTTAAACTCCATATTTACCACTAGGTGGCGGCAACTTGCTATACCATACAAACTTCCCGGTGCCCGGGTCAGCCTGGTCAGGCTGGCATTACAGGAGGCAGGAATTACTGTGGCCAATTCAGTTCCCTAAACTAAGAAACCCATTAGAAGGTAAAAATCAATGACAGTGTGTGTAGAGCCCTTTCAATAAGATACTCTTGGTAAACTGGAACATCTGAAATGGATTGCTTCCAGTAGTGGAACTGACATTGTGCATCGTGCCATGGCCATTTACTGGCAACGATATTCGGTTTTCTCTTCATTAAAGTTGCACTGTAAATACAGTACTGCATCACAAGATATGCAGTGTAAACAATTAAAATAATTCTTACAAAAATGCCTCACAACCCCTGAAGTGTTAGAGAGATACAGGCTACCATTGACTCTTAAGTTATTAGTACAGAATTGCAACATTTAGAAGCATGATTAACTCTGGGTGTACCAAACAGGTACATGTGGATTTTTTTTTCTGGGAGGCTTTCCAGATACATGAGTACAGTTTGCCGACTGTGATAGCTCATAAATTAATTCCTGAATGCATGCATGCATGAATACATAGGACAAGTATGGAGTTGGAGAGAATGCAGGGAACTGCCCAGAGACAGACTCTTCTGACTGGACCATACTCAGACAAGCTCCTTTTAGTGAGAGCCACTATGCTTCCAGATAAATTGCACTTTGGGGTTTAGTAACCCTAAAGGACCTGGAGGCTAACTGAAGTGTGCAGAAGTCAGCAGATTGGAAGCTGTCCCAGAGAATGCCCAGTTGCTTAATATCTGGTGCCAGGACTCTGTACCCAAGTTGAAGAGAGGCAGCTCTTAGTGCTAACCTGTGGTTAGTAAGCCTAAGGTGAATGTTAGCATCCTGGTCCCAGGATTTTCTAAATATTTGCTTTCTTTGAAGGCCTAATAATATTGATCCCTGTGTAACTATGTCCCAGAGAGCCCCAGGGTACCCTCTGCCAGGATGGTCCATGCCCCTTGGGGGAAGGCTCAGAGCCCAGGCAAGGTACCAGAGGTGCCTAAGGAGCTCTGCAGAAACTCTGCAACTCAAAACGGGGCCTGAGATTGTGTCTTAAAAAGCCTTCCCTGGTAGGTTGGTTTGGACCCAGGGTTAAGAAAAACAGCTGTGGAGCCAGGCATCCAGCAAAGTCTTGCCCTACAGCCAGACAGTGCCAACTATTCCTCCAGCACCTGGCTGCCCTGTTCCCTTTTCACACTGGGTTCACATGATGCCAGAGTTTTCAGGACCTCCACTGTAGCCTGAAATGGTACAGTCAGACTTGGCAGTGCAGCCACTCATTTATGATCCCCTAGGCATTCTTTTCTTGTTCTTGCCATAACAATATTAATAGCTAACATTAATTGAATAACTACCATGTGCTAAGCAATGTATATGCATGTACTCCAACCATCCTATGAGATGGCACCTATTATCCCTGCTTTACACGAGAGAACTGAGGGGTAGAGAGAAGTCTAGGACGGACCACATAGCATAGAATTGGCAATATTATGACCCAGTTGTTTGGAAACAAAGCTTCTGGTCAGCCAAACTTCCTCCAGAACACATATTTCTGTTAACTCTGATGGAAAGTCTCATGGAAGAACCTGATTGATAACTATATATACAATCTACATTGAAACTAAATCTAAGTTTATATTATATATTATTATCTTATTATATTATATATTATCTAAGCAATAATAGTGGGAAGTATAATAATTATTGTGTCATTATAGCTCTAGCAGGGAATAAATGGTATCTTCAAGCTGAGTTACTAAGAAGAGTTTAGTAGATGATTTACAAAGCTGTGGATGTGATGTTTAAAAAGCAATGAGCAGTGGTCTAGTTCCCCGGAGTTAGTAACTGGAGAGGGAGCACTTACAGGAACCTAGAGAGAGAGAGAGAGCTACGTGGAGAAGGCCTCAGGCAGCAGCATGGGCCCTTGGTGAAGGGACCCACAAGGCACCTGGGGAATAACACTCAGCCTGACTCTACCTCATTCTTCTGCCCTTTGATCCCCTGCCTATGATTGCCCCTTGGCCAAAATCCAGACAGAGGGCAGGAGAGCCCATTGACTATTCCAGCTAGTTAGCCCGCTCTGGGGACAGAGCAGAGTAGACAGAGGACTGTGGAAGGCAAACGGGTGACACCAGAAGACTTAGATGAACTTGAAATACGTCTGTAGGCACTGGGTTGAAAAATTAAAAGGACCAGACTTCAAAACAATGATTAGCAGTCACAAATAAAATTATCCTAGTCAGAACCTATTATGGCATTCATTTTAATTACATTATCTTAATCAACCTTTAAAACACCCCTTCAAGACATGCCTCATATACTAAATCTCTGAAAAAATGTAGTAACTTGACAGGTAGTATGGCTAGTACCTGGCCAGGATCAGACTCTTACTCCAAAGCCTCTAACTTTTTTTTTCACCACAGAACACTGAACATGAACCAAACTGAAAATGACTAAGCAAATTACTTGTCTAGAAAGACCCATAAGGGTGAGAAGAAAAAAAATAAATCTTCTTTAGATGAATCATTAATATTTAAGTTTTTATAACAATCACTCAAATATAAAAAACATTTGTGTTCCTCAGTCTTCTCTCACTTTTCTCTTTAAAAAAGGAACTATTTCAACATAATGCTGCACTTGAAAAAGGTATTAATTTATTTATTTTGATGAATCATTTTAGATTCACCTAAATTGTTTTGTTCACTTTCTTATCACCCCTGGGATGGATGGGGAGAGAGAATATAATCTTTGTTTACACAGTGGCTGTGTTCTAACATGAACTACGGTTGGGCTTCTTAAAACCAAGATCCCAAGAGGAACAAAATAGGCAGAATATGGTGTGACCAGGGCATAACTCAGGCTGCCACAAAGTGACATGATACTTTCTGAAAGTCACAGTAGTAGAAGCAGTCTGGAAGCAGCACATTTCCTAGGAACACTACCATTTTAATCCATGCACCCAGATTTGTTAGAAGGGCTGGTGAGCTCTCTCCTCACACAAGGCAAAGCCAGACTGGAAGGGGACTAGGCTAGGGAGACAGGTGAAGGACAGGTCCAGACCCCAAAACATTTTAAGAAGGAAGGTCTACACTTGGGACTTGGGCTGTATGAGGCAATCTAGTAGGGAGGCAATACAAAGGTTGATGAAACACATTTGTGACTAAATATGCATAATTGTATACGGGACAAGCCAGAGGCAAGAGACATTCTGTGCACTTGCTTGTCTCCAAGGCCATGTGAAACACTGCTTCCCTTTGTCCTGAATTAATGTAACACTCCTTGTTTAATTTAATATGTATTCCTTTATTTAAATTCATTTAACATTAGCTGTTATATTCTTACTAAACTCTCCATGTTTTTTTACCATACTGTAAATTTGTCTTTTATTTGCATGTAGTGTAATGCTGAGCCATCCATCCTGTTCCTTGTGCAGAATCTGTTCAAAGTTACAGTGCCAGGTGTTATAAATTAATAAATTGGTATCCAGTGTGTCAATTTTTTGTGAATGTGACTCATGTGAATCAGCCTTCAGAATCAAATAACTAAAGCATACTAATAAAAATAAGCTCTAGAACTTCAAAGCTGAGGGTCTAGACCTAAGCTAGCCTTACCAAACTACGGATTCCCACGGAGATGGGATTGAACATTATCCTTTATCTACACTCTAGCCATTTAAAAAATGATATAAAACACAAGGAGTGACCAGGTAGAGCAACCAACCCCAAAACAGCTGATCTCTACGAAAACAGCATTGCTTTGTGGGGAGGGACCCGGCGGCAGCGAAGCTCCTGCAGATTTGGTAAGGTGAAAGAAAATAGCTGACATCAATTGAGAGTTGCGGTTCTTACGCAATGTAAGTTTGTTTGTGCCTCCTCTTCCTCCCTTTCACCTTCCTCACTCAGCCTTGCAAGTACTCCTACCTTTCCAAGTTAATGCTATATGTGTTGGGACCAAGGGCAGGAACCCCAAACTTGCCACTTTGATGTATTAATTATTTTAAATTAAAGTAACTGGAGAAGCAGCTGGAGTAAGAAGGATACTCTAACCCCTCCTCAGGCCCCTCCTGAAACCAGAAGACAAATCTAGGTAAAGAATGCCCTCCTTGTACCTGGAGGGAAGAAGGCATCCTTATCACCAGAGACAGGGAATTCAGAGCTGAGAAGACTGCCGAAATACATCTCATTACTTTTTTTTTTGTTAAGATCTAATTGATTTTATTAAGCGATTCATGAATCAGGCGACTTCCCATCTAGCATGTAGTTAAAGGCTCCCACATTACTTTTTTACTAATGTACTAGTACAGCCAAATGCTATTTAGAATTTCTCACTAATTGAAGCTCCCAAACACAAATTTTCTCTGTCCTGTCAATTCCTCACAGATCTATTGCCTCTTTGTCTAAAATGTATAAACACTGCCTGCCTTGGTCATTTTTTTAGGTCTCAGTTTCATTACTGAGCTTCTGCATGTCTATAATAAAACTTGGTTTTTTCTCTCCTGTTAATTTGTGGCATGTCTTTGATTCTTAAACCAACTAGAAGAGTGCTGAGGAAAATACTTCCTCCCCAACATATGGTTATTTTAGAGGCCTCAGATCCCCAAGGACTTTGGCCGTTTACCCATGGAAATAAGTTGATCCAAGCTCGACTTCCTATTCCTGGCAGCCAGAAATAACCCTTCATTGGAGTGAATGAAGGAAATGACAGTGACCGCTGCGGGCTCAGGCCTTGGTGTGTACTAGCTTTGCATTTTCTTATTAGTTTTTATGTTTCATGTCTTAGATAATCCTAAGGTTAGTCTAGGCCCATCCTTCTCTGCAAGAAACACTCCCTAGGCTTGTATCTGTAAAACTGTCAGGCCTTGGAATTTTTTAGCTATTTTCAACTTGGCCTCAGTCAGATAGATGGCAAAACAGATTTCTCTGTGTGTTTTTTGCAAACAAAGGGAGGTCATGAGGGGCACATGACAACTTGGATTTAATTTTTTCCACATTTCCTGACCTTCTCAAATGGAAATTCTAATCAACCAGCACACTGGGTGAGCTGAGCTCAGTGGAGTGTTTATACTTAGTAGATGTGAAGCCCTTGCTTTATTATAAAAAACCTGCTTTGGGTTTTTTTCTTGGACAGGCTGTGTGCAGAAGAAAATTTTCTGACACTGCCAAGCACAATCTCATACAGAAGTTTCGAAAGCTGGCACAGTGACAAAGGGGCTACTAAAAAGCATTAGCCAAATCTTTACCTACTAGGGCAAGCTTTCCCTACCCATCCCAGCCCTGCTCTCCAGGGTGGCCCTGTGCTAACATGGCATGGCACAGCTAAAGGATTAAAGGATTAGTTTCACCTTACATCTGACTGTTTAACTTACCACTGGGTTTGCAGTGTTGTAAAGAGAAAATTTTAGGAACAGAAGCCAGAATAAAAACCCACCCTTAAGGTCTGGCATTTGCTAAGGCAAAGCAGAGTTTGCAGGGTTCACTGTGATACTGGGTGAGTACCAGTTTATGCCATTCAGTGTTATAATTGCTCAGCTCTTTCTGCTATTAAGAATTATTCAGCAATAAACAGAGGTCCATTTCTCTGCACACACAAAGGCCCTTTTCTTAATCTCTTAACCTTAAAGATATCACTTATTATAATTTCCATTTACTATTAGGCAGTTTAATAAGCACTTCCACACACATTACCTCACTGAGGCTTCATGACAAGCCCTGAAGTAGGTATAATTTCCTCTCATTGTCAAGTTCAGAGTGTCCAGTGTTGAGCCATAAGCACTTACCAGTCACTGCTGGAGCTGCTACCTGAACCTAGTTGTCCTGAGTCCCGTGGCTAGTTTCCCTTCCCCACTGTCCTCATGAGACCGGGTCCTGGTCTGGCTCCATGAGAGAAGGCCGTCCATGAAGGATGAAGGATCAGGGCTGTGAGAGAGGACGGCTGGTGAGCCCAAGCCAACAGGAACCTGCATAGCACCCACACTCCCAGACTGATGCTGAATGTGCACAGGGTGACCATTTGCCTGGGACTCTCTTGACTTGAGCACTGAAAAGCCTAAATCCAGGAAACGCCCTCAGTCAAGGCAAACAAGGACAGTTGGTCACCCAATGTGTGGGTCATGTTTTGCCTCTGGTTCCACCTGAATTTCTAGTAACACCTCCAGATTCAGAAGATTCTTAGTCCCAAACTCTTAGGAAATTCTGGAGGCTTCTGGGACCCCACTGTTGATCTCTGGAAGACAGTTTTTATTGAATCTGGTGTTCTGGTCTTTTTGTCCCAAGTGTCCCAATATATAAAATATTTTAAAAATCCAAGCCCTTGATTAACAATGGGAACCACCTTAAAAATTATATTTGCTACTGATTATGAACAACAGAGAATAGGAAGTACTTCATCATCCTCACCATGAGTCAGCACACCCATGCAATGTGCTTTACTCTTTGCATTTTATGAATGCGGCAGCCGGGGTCACACTCAGCTACAAGCAAGACTGCTGTCTCTGAGCCAGGTGTACCTGGCCCCAAAGCCCATGCTCCTACTGCACACTCCTCAAAACTCTTCCAGGTACCTGCGCCCCTCTCCTGAGCAAATTAGAGTTGCATGGATATTTTGAGATTCACATCTTTCTTTAGAGGCTCTTGTAAACTTTTGGAGTGGAACAATTTTCATAGCATTTAGAAGTTTCAGTACCCTAAGAGACTTGACCCTAGAATTTCATAGAAACACTGGAAAAGGGTTTACAAGAGAGATTCAGCTGGTAACTTCCCCAAACCTAAATTTAGGACTGATGTGCTACATTATCCAACATGACCATGAACTTTTTTTAGCTCAACATTTTCTTTTTAATAGATCACCTTCCAAGTTTCAGCTTTTGACATTTTATCATACAAGCAATTCACCTAGAAAAGGGATTAGGACCATAAATATCAATACAGATATTAAACTTCACTCAATACATTATTTTTTGTAAAAAAAAATTTTTTAGATTAATGTCCTATACAGTTTTTGCTAAGACCTTAAGAGTAAGTTTACCAATTGAATTTTTTTGTATCTGTGCTGGTACCCCCCGTGTTGGTACTCTTTTGCTTTTGTTCATAAGTACACACTTTTTGTTGCTGAGATATAGTTTGGATTTTTTGACTTGAAGATTGAGACTTGGAATAGCTGTTTTGTCCACACCTGCTTAACTTTGTTGGATAACAAGACATGCTGGGTTTCTTCAGTGTTTTGCGGCCAAAACGATGGCAATCACACTCAAGTCTGTTAGATTGGCACTGCTTTTACCTGGTGGGCTTAATCTGACCAGTGAGTAGAATTACTAATTATAATTGCTAATTCTAAATTGGGCATAAATATATTTTTTAATTGGACCTATAACACCTGCTATATTAATCAACAGAGAGATCTGTGGCAAAGCTCAGACCAGTTTTTCAAAACAAAGTTTCGATATTATCTGTTGTCTGAAAATATTTCACAGCCTGAACAGTTTTGTCTGGACTTAGGAAATATGCCTCACTGATTAAGTCCACAAGAATTTACCTCCTTGGTGTAGAGTGGATTTACCTGGAGATGAGTGTGCCAGTGTGCCCACCAAATAAATAAGAACATCTATTGCGGACACTCTCCTATCAATACAATCAGTAGATCCAGCAGATTGCAGCATCACTGCATCTTATTATAAGAAACAGTGGCCTCAAGTGGTTAAACAGCTAATTCAGAAGAGCTAAGCACTTTTCCAAGTAAACAAAAGCCCTCTGGCATTTGAAGCCCAGTATGCAGCCTGCATTTCAGTTTCCCTCGTGCCCTACATATGCACCTTTGTGCCATGCATAAATTACACAACCATAAGAGACAGCTCTGTGTATAACAGTGATTGGGGTCCAGATCATAATCTGTCTACGTACAGGGGCAACAAGTTTTACTGTCTTTCGATTTTCCCCCAAATACCTAGACAGCACAGTTGTCCACATTTATGTTCTATGTGCCTCCAACTCCCCTTTCCCAACCTTGATCTTCTATTCTAATTTGTTTACATTTCTTTGGCCCTATTTTCATTAATTAATGTTTAATTATCTGATTTCCACAAATTACATCAAGTCTGTAGAATGAAGTAGAGCATAATACAATTTTATATCAAAAGCATCTCAATTAAGTTGCTTTAAAAAGTCACCATCTACAAAAAAAATAAAGCATTCTAAAGTATCCTGATGTATTCTGCAATTTTGCCAAAGTGTTGACATAAACGGCATTGCCCATTTTATCACCCTGTTGACAGTCCTGTGTATGCTTATTAAGTAAAAAGTTATTATTGGCTTAATAGAGAATTATATCTCATCAATTTTATCTAGGAAAAAACCTCTTACAACCAAGGACAGCAAACGCTTCACTATATGCTAGTTAACTCACTTTGTTCCCCTGGTCATGTATCCTGAGGTGGGAGAACAACTGTGGGAGGGCAGTGCTGGCCGGACTGCAAGTCTTTATGGATTTGTTGCTTTCTTTATCAAGCTTTTTGCTTTAAACATTTTATCCTCAGACTACTTATTTAAATTACTTGATTTTAGAAGATTTATTTACTATATCTCAACACATAAAATTTTCATTCTTAGAAGTTTTTTATGACTTCTTGCTATCATTCTTAAGCATAAAAGTTTCTCTATGCTCCATATATTTGAGATTTATATCTTTACTGTAAAACAGTTTGGTTTTTAAAGTAAGTCTCAACTATTAATCCAGCAGGAATTTGTATGGGGCTGTGCTGTGAAATTTCTAACTTCAACACTGGGCTGCACTGCATTGTGACCCATAACATTTTCTGATAGGGTAAGGGTGAATGTTAATTCGAGTCACTGTCTTGCAGTCACCCATCTGTTTCCAGCATATCATTTCTCACACTTAATGTCTTTGCAAAAGAGCCATGTAACATTTATTGAACATGCACAATGTGCCAAGGATTTGGGTTTCATTAGCAAAGGGCACTGTAAATTAATCTGAGATCCAAGCTGCTAATTTTTCCCCTGAGTGCTTTTTCAGTGTTCTCTCATTTCTACATCTGGTTCAGACTACCAGATCATTGTATTATGAAGATAGACTCGAACTCTTTTTAAGGAAGAAAACAATGGGTTAAACCATCAGACCCACCCTCTACTACACCTTTACTCAGTTAAGGAAAACTAACAGCTTAATATGGCCAGTTTGAAAAATAGTTACTGTTGTCCAAAGAAACATAAATACTGCTCTCAGGAATTTTGCTTCAAATATCACCTTACTGCTCTTCAATATCCATGTACTTCCTGCTTGCTCCATTTGAATGTCTACCCCAGACAATTCTTCCCCCAGTACATTTTATCTCAGCAGATAATTGCACTTATTCGGCTTTTACAGACCAGCAACCATAGCATCACGTTTAATGTCTTCACTCTTGCCTACCACAGGCAAACTGATGCTAAGCCCTGACAACGCAACTTCTAGTTTCTCCTTCAGCATGCCTTCCTCTCATTGCCCATGACCATTATCTTAGTTCAGTCTAATCATCTCTCATCTGCATATGTTAACACAGTAGCATGATAACATGCCTACTGTAGGAGTTGGTCCACTAAGCTGCTAAACCATAAGTTGCCCCCAAAATGTCAATACTTTAGCATGGTTTGAAAGCCTTTACTAATGGACTACAACGTATTTTAATTTATGAATGTATTCAGTTACTCAACAACTAAGAACTTAGCACCCACTCTATTGAAGCCTCTGTGCTAAGCTCTGGAGATAAAGCAAGGGAGTAGGGGTCATCTGCTTTTACAATCTCCTAGACATCCAAAAGTCAAAGCACACCGGATTACCCTTCCTGTTCATACCTCCCTAGTGTCATTCGTGTTTTCTCTTATGCCAGAAAATCCCTTTCTTCTTGTTAGCCTGAGGCAATTGTACTGATGCTTCAAGAATTAGCCTGTAACTCTTAACAAAGATTCACATGAAAGAAATTAACTGGTGAGAACTTCAGGCCCAGAAGAATTTCCATAATTTACCTGAAGTTTTCTGTAACAGGTAGGAAAGCCAACTGCTTAAACTGTTCTTGTTTGGAAGGTATGAAAACAAATCATTAAAAACAATAATTTTACCTTTCAGTATTCAAACTGTCCTGACATTTGTAGATTGTGAGAGGCATGAGGTCTGTTGAGTGATGGTTATTCCCTTTTCACACTTCTCTCCACTGGGATTGTGGATCTGTTTTGTAAATACAAGCAGAAGTAGAAAATTTGCTGAAGATGTATAATCTTTATGAAATAAATATTTAAAAAGTCTTATGAGCAATTAGGGCTTGTCAACAATATTAAAATTTTTAATTCACATTTTCTAAGGCTGTAATTATATATTAAAAATAAATACTTGGATTTTTATGTTGGAATAGAGTTTTAACCAGCTATTACCACTTAAGGCAGATTTACCTTGTAAAGACATGCTCTATGTATTCCCTAAAGTAATATTCATTTTTGTGGATGAAAATGTCTTTAACACATTGTAACCATTCTTTTTTGGATTCAAATGTAAATATTTTTTAACACTTGCTATAAATAAACTTGAATTAGGTTTTGAAATTAGTTCATTGTGTGTATTGTGACTTGATTAGATTATAAAAGAACTAGGGAAAACTTAAGGGAAAAGCACCTTTTTCAATAATTACATTTAAGAATCACCATTATACAACTAGGTGAAACTGAACAGGTATACTACAAAGATGCATGAGGCTATTTACCAGTACATATTAATATTTCAGAAAATATTTCAAAAAATAACACTTAAATAGAAAAATGCAGGTAGAATCACATTATAATATATATCCTAATGTTCAGTCCAATAAAGTAGAATTGTGAGTCTCTAAGTCCCTGTTTACCTAGTCATGACTCCATTTAACAGTAAATGTTTTCATTTGGTACAATTGCACTGTCATATGCATCATATCTACATATATAAATACTAAAAATTATTAATAAAATTTAAATATATTACAAAATGTTTTGTGGTGATGTATTTTGTTTGAGGAGAGTGGTTTTATTTTGTTATTGAGCCTTTACTGACTATGGATAAAGTTTTAAAGTATTGTAAAACATATGAAATACTTCATAAACAAAGTAAGGCGGAAAAAACAGAAACTGGGGGTTTTAATACAAAGATTTAATATCACTTGGACTGGCCTATGTTAGTAGATTGCAAAATGTCCGGGTAATTATGAGTCACTTTTACACAATGAACATTTCCCAATGAAAAGTGGCTTGAACCCAAGGGGTCAAAGCTCTCTTTCCTTTTATCAGTTTGTTGATCTTGGCTTAATCTAGGCTTAAAATTAAAAACAGCTGAAATATCTGAAAAGTACACAGAATTCCTTTCTGAGGTACCTTCATCATCAACTAAGTTTAGCTATGGCAATTCTCAGAGCACCTATAAAAAGCAAAGTTTGTAAATATATATTATACATATGTAAAAATACAAACATATATAAAAACATTATATATATAACATATAATCTTCACCTAAGAATCATTCAGACATTTTCCTTATTAACAATGCCTATAGTTAGGAGCCTACAACTTAATAAATGGAGTAAAAAGTTCCCCCAAAGAGCATTTTTAACCACAAAAATATGTAAAGCCAATTAATGTTTATATCTGTTATCTCAAATTTTGAGATAAGTATTAATTAAGTATATCTAAATAAGTATATCTAAATTATATCCAAATATAGATATCAAAAGAAATAAATCCAAGAAGGAATAAATATTTATATTCTCAGATCAGTTTTTGAAATGAACTCCACTTTATACCAAGAGCTTCCATAAATTATATTTTTACAAATGTTGCATGTTATAATTTTATATATTTAATATTTATCATGAAACTTTGTGGAATCATTCCTCACTTCTAAGCATATTATCACCAAATAGTGAACAGCAAGACTTTAACCCATCTATGAACAGTTTCTTGAATCATCAAGAAACTGGTTCTAAGGAGAGATAAGGGAATTAATAGTTTTTATATATTTTTCATTTCTAGTCAGTGGAGTCAGTGATGCAATGTCAAACTGAGCTCTTGGATGCTAAATCAAAGGACAAATGAGCAAGAAATAGCTAGAAGAATGTTAAATGAAATAGCCTTTGTTTAAGCTTCTAGTTTAAAGACTAATCTGGAATTTTCATTCATTTGGTAGTTTTTTTTCACTTCAACCTTGTACCAAGCACTGAGTTAGGTAAACAGCTAGCTCACAGTGGTGAATAAAAAAACATGGTCTCTGTCCTTATAGATCATATAGTATAGTAAGAGGCCAATTTAATAAGGAAATAAATAAATACATAAACATATCACTTTTATTTGTGAAAAGTATTAAAAGGGGAATAACTAAGGTACTGGGTTAGAGGGAAAAAAAGGTGAAATTACTGCCCAAAGGCCAGTAATTTGAAAAGTTGACCATCTCCTACTCAGAACTGTAAAACAGCAGTATAGGTGGTATTTGCCTCAAAATGTTAAAAATATTGTTTAGGTTCATGAAGCCTAAAAATACTAATTTCTTATGGACATTTTTATACATTTGTTTATTTCAATAGTTCTCTCCTTGCACACCTGTCCAGAAAAGAATATGCTTTAGTTTTGACCAAGATTAACAGGAAATGATTCTACTTAGAGTAAGAAAAAAACTATATAGTTTTCCCAGAAACAGGCTTTGCCCCATGACCTCAACTCTAATCTGCAAAAGTTCCTTCCACCAGCAACTGTTTTCTTCTTTCTCACTCCTCTTTATATCTAAATTTTTTACATTTCTCTGTAATATTTAGCTGAGGAACTCATAATTTCTGTTCTTCATGCATATATATTTGGCCATGTCTTTGTTTCTCACTCCCCCACAGTTGGATTCTCTCTGCAAAGGAAAGTGAAAGCCCCTGATACCCAGGCAACCAGCCTTAGGTTTCCAATACTTCAGAAGAGAAGGCTGAGGAGTATCTCCCTAGAAATAAAAGGTGCTAAAGCACTTTCAATTTATTTTTGCAAAATTGTTAGTGCTTTATTTCTGGCAAATGAGAATCATAGAAATAGGCTATCCCCAGGAAGCCCCCAAAGGTCCTGGGAAGCACATGGCTGAATTAGAAACTCTTGAATGAGTCCGTTTGAGGACTAAATTCAGAAAGAGAGAAGGGTGGGTTCCAGGACCTCAGCTTGAGCACTACTAGGGGCCCACCTTTATCCCTACCTGCTTCTAGGACACTTGTTACAGCAGAATTCTAACCAAATTTGGGCTGTTGTCCCTTTGAAACCTACAAATTATCATAACATCTGTCATTTTTAAAAGTCAATTTCACATATTTCGAGGTTTTTCTTGTTTGGGGATTATTAAATTTCATCTCTTTCTTCCAGTTGTTTACATGATGAAACCATGGAAAACATCTCAAGCTATCCAAAGCATTTCCTCTAATTGTAGCGTGGGTGAAATGAACAATCTGTGCTGCTTCCCCACACCAGATGTCTATTTCACAGGAACGATTAGTCCCTGGCTATCATACCAAAGACTTTCAGAGAGGAGGTCAGGCTGTTCCTTTGGAGTCCATGCACTTCGCAATATTTGCAGGAATAGTCAGCTCTTAAAAGGGGAAACCTAGTCATTCCCTGAAGTCTCCCCACCTCAGATAGGAGACCTCCAGTATGAGGTCTCTCTACCTTTAACCCAGAATATTTTTCTCCTTTTCACAATATACACAATGGAAACATCCCAATAGGCCATGCCCAGTATTTTGCCCTAGGAAGAGTTTGGCATTTTGACATCATCTAAATAGATTAACTCTCCACCTGCTGGCAATAACCACCTGGATACTCTACAGGTAACTCAAACTAACAGGATCAAACCTAAACGCTTTACCCATCACCCACCCAGTAGATCTACCTCCTGGGCTCTCCACTTCAGGATGTGACCCCACACCCCTCAAACTCAAAAACTGGGTTCCTCCCACTGCACCAGTCTCCACATCTACTGCATCATTAAGGCCTCTTGGTTTTACGTCCTAAAATGAATCAATCAATTTCCTCTTCCTCCTCCCTGCTAGCGTGTTTCTCTGGTTTGTGTTCTCATTTCTTGCCCAAAACCCTGTGATAACCATCTGACATACCCCTGCCTGTTGCAGAATGGCTTTGGACTGGCTTATACAAATCTTCCAAGCCCACCAATGGGAATGCCCAAATAGAATACTTTCTGTTATTTAAAATACAAAACTGCTTTTTGAAGGCAGGAAGGAGGAAGTGGCTTCAGCCTTGCTGCGCCACACTGTCTCACCTCAGGCCTCAGAGCAGTATACTTCATGGTCCTGATGAGGGCAGGAGGTGTGGGGTGGAGGGGAAAGGGCCTGTTCACTGCGGACCAGCTCTGCTCAGGTCCCAGACAGTTCCTGGCCAGGTGGGACTGAGAGGAAGAGGCCACCACCTGGAAAGGAGGGATGTCACGCGAAGTCTTCTGTCTCTATGGCCAGGACTCGGATCTTACTGACACCCTGGCCTCCTTTCCATGACAGCAGGAACTTATTCTTATTGTTTACTTTCCCTTAAGAAGAAGGGGCTTGAGGCGGAGCCAGGATGGCAGCGTGAGTAGAGCAGTGGAAATCTCCCAAAAACACATAGAGCTATGAAAATATAACAAAGAAAAATCTTCCTAAAATTAAGACCACAGGACACAGGACAACATCCAGACCACATCCACACCTGCAAGAACCCAGCGCCTTGCGAAGGGGGTAAGATACAAGCTCCGGCCCGGCGGGACCCGAGCGCCCCTCCCCCGGCTCCCGGCGGGTGGAAAGAAACTGGAGCGGTATTTTTTTTTTGGGGGGGGAGTGCTTTTTGGAAGCCTTAAAGGGACAGGGACCCTGGTGCTAGGGAGGCAGAGCAGCAGGACCAGTGAGCGGGTGCCTGGGACTGGCACCTGAGGACAAAGAATATCGCGCGTTTTTCCCTTTGGGACCGTTGGGCGGGTCCCTGAGACCGGCACCTGAGGTCTGAGGAGATCACGCGTTTTTCCCCTTTTTTTCCTCTTTTTGGCGAGTGCTTTCTGGAAGCCTTAAAGGGACAGGGACCCCAGTACTAGGGAGGTAGGGCGGCGGGACTGGTGAGCGGGTGCCTGGCGGCGCCTGAGGACAAAGAATATCCCGCGTTTTTCCCTGCGGGACTGGAAGGTGAGTGTCTGAGACCGGCACCTGA